TGTTTGTAAAACTAAGTCGATATTCCGGGAGATAAGGACATCCCATAGCTGCGCCTTTAATTTGAGATAAAAGTTTTCTTGGCAATGGAAATAGGAGTAATTTAAATAGTGTTGATAATATGAGTGAAGACTGTTTTCGGAAAGTCAGTAAGTTACAAATTGTGTGCCAACGTTTATCGATTGAGTTTTAGGATTAATTCATGTGGGACACATAAAAAGGTTGACCACATCTAAGCTTAGAAATAAGTGATTTTCAGGGATGTTGCGGTTATTAATAAATTCACAAATTGGTACGAATTCTTAACATAATAGGGAGAATTGATTGTAACATTTTTAGGACATCAGAAATGAGTTTCGAAATATTGTAAAAAGGAGAGCCAATGTAGGAGACCATCGGTCTGAAAGAGCATTCCGGTTTGTGTATTTTTGGAAGACAGTACATCTTAGGGGAGATAGGGTGTTGTATTTTTAGGTTAAAAGCAAAATTCTCAGAAATTAGTTTTTTGTTTTTCAGATCATTGATTAATTTAAAAGCTATTCTAGAAAACGTTGTGTGGGATCTTCTGTTAAAATATTATATGTTGTATCATCTTTAAGTAGGTTAAGGACGGAATTGTTGTAAAATTCTTTGTCAAGAATGACTGTGATATTACCCTTATCGGCTGGGCAAACTATAATATTATTAGATTTAATGAAAGCTTAGTTTCTAAAATGTCTTTGTGGAGTTTCTTTAAATGAAGTTTTTGAAATTTATTATTTACTTTCTTTATATGTTTTACCAGTCGTCACATAGTTTTGATCTAATGTTATTCTGTTTGTTTGTTTCAATGTTTCTAATGTTGTATTCAATATTACTTAGAATTTTTATGAAATCTGTTTTACTGTATTTCTGAGGAGAGTATGCAATTTTGGACCTAATGCTAGAATATATTTAACATTTTCTGGAATGTAATATCAGTTTTATTAACTAACCACTTATTTGTACAAGATTTAGAGATTTTGAAGGGATAGTTGTCATCTCTTTTTTGAATTAAAGTTTTAGTTTTTTTAATATGTTTTTCTTTAGTAGTATTAAATGTTTGTTAAATTTATAGTTTTCAAAAGCTAAAAATTGATTTAGAGGTCTGGCACACATTTGTAACTTTACTGACTTACTGACTTTCCGAAACAGTCTTCACTCATATTATCAACACTATTTTAAATTACTCCTATTTCCATTGCCAAGACAACTTTTATTCTCAAATTAAAGGCGCAGCTATGGGATGTCCCTTATCTCCCGGAATCATCGACTTAGTTTTACAAACACTAGAAATTTCCGTTTTCTCAACTTTAAAATTTCAAATTAACTTTTATATTAGATATGTAGATGACACTTTTTTTATCATTAACAAAATCATATAAACACAGTACTAGATCTCTTCAATAATTTAACAATAATATAATTTTCACACATGAACTACAAAATAACAACAGACTTAATTCTTGGATGTATCCGTTTACAACACTAATAACTTTGTTCGAACAAATTGGTATAGAAAAACGACATGGTCGGGTAGATACTTACACTATTCCTCATACTGTCCCAGAAACTATAAGATAAACACTATTATTTCCCTTACAGACCATGCTATTTTGTTGTCTCACCAAACTTTCCATCCACAAAATTTATCCCTAGTAAAAATAACTCTAATTGAAAATGGTTACCCAAAAAATCTCATTCATTCAGTTATTCAAAAAAGACGAACTTTCTTAAAAACACAAATTAATTCTCCCAATACCAGTACTAACATCAAAAACACCAATCTTATTTACAGCAGCATACCATACGTTGAAGATTTATATTATTATTTTGCCAAAATTTTGTTAGAAGAAAACATTTTAGTATCAGGCTCATCCTTACACTCCTTCAACCAATTCTTTACGAACATTAAATCCCCCACCCCATCCAATCTCAATACTAATGTAGTATATTCTGTTTCTTGTAATGACTGTGCTTTTCAATATATTGGACAAACCTCCCAATATGTACACAAGAGAATGAGACAACATGAACTAAGTGTGGTCCACCATAAACAAAAAAATTTCAAAAGTACCCTAGTACAACACTCTATAGAAAACGCCCATTCATTTAATTTCACTCCAAAGATTTTATATCACGAAAGTTGCATCTTTAGAAGGTTATTCGCGGAGAGTTGTCTCATCCTCATAAATGTTTCTAACAGTGTCAACATTAGATCAGATCACAACCTATTACATGATTCATATTTAAATTTTTTACACTTTTTGACAAACAATTAATATCGACTTCCTTTTAAGATCAACAATTTAAGTATTCACACCCTGACATATAAAAACACACAATACAATCTCACATCTCTCGTTCAAGTGTTTACACGTGTTACAAAAGGCACACCAGTTTCATTTAGTTAATTTTCGAAAACCAATCGAACAACATCCAGAGAACAATATTATTTGTGTTTTCAAATAATAATTTTAAAAAAGACAAATTTTTTAGTAATTTTGATTTACAAAATCTAATTATTCGGCGGAAAATTAACTCACAAAATCATTTTTGTTAAAAAAGCTTGTTTAGTGAAAAAGTGCTAACAAATATTCAAACATACAGGTAATTAATTCAACTTTGTCATTAACCTTTTCTTAAAAAATTTCCATAACTTTCAAAAAAATTTTCTATTATGTTTAATATCCTGTTCTGATAATCCACTCATTTATTTTTATCATTTTTATTTTGAACATATTATCATATTTCTGTACATTATTATATTTTTTACAATTTAATTCATTATTTAAGAAAAAATCTATTTTCTTTTCCTAAACATATTGTTTGCTAAAATCTCATCAAGATCATGTTTCTTGACAGATGTCCTGAAGATGGAACGTACCTAGTTCCGAAACGTCGACAATAAACAAATAATTAAATAAAGAAATTGTTTTTTTTTTAAAAAACTTTTCTTGTTTTTTATTTTGTATTATTTTTGGATTCTTGTTCGAAACTCTACAAAATATACACAAATCCAAGACTCTACCATTCAATATATATATATATATATATATATATATATATTCAATAGATAAGTCCTGAATTTTTTCAATATATTGATTGTTTCTTTTCCGAACAGTAAATCCAATAATAAAAAACAATTTGTTTTTTGAAGATGTTTAATACGACGTTTCGGAACTAGGTACGTTTCATCATCAGGTTTATTCTGTCAAATACAATGTTTTTTAAAAATATTGATTAACATTAATTAATGATGGTCAATACAGATTAATTAGAAAAAATTTTTATAAAGGAATGGATTATGTACCGGGGTAAAGAGTAATAAGAATTAACTAAAAAAAGTTTTATATAAAAATTGAGAAGCAAAAATTATTTACCTGTAATAATTTATATATCCATATCACTAATATTTTTTTGTTAAAAACACTCGATTTTTTTGGAGGATATTTGTAGATGTTACGACTACACAAGACTTAAACACACTGATATGGAGTTCTGTCGGCCAGATGATTTTTTATTATTGGATTTACTGTTCGGAAAAGAAACAATCAATATATATATATATATATATATATATATATATATAAGCGGTTAAGAGCAACGGGACTCGTTTCAGAGGTCCCGGGTTCGATACACACTTCGAGCAGCCTGTTGTCAGGCAGCAGTGACAACGATTTTCACTTGGAAATATAGATAGCAATATGTTACCAAGTAAAAATAGCCCTTGCCCGAAATTGCTGCACCAATAAAAAGTCAGCCCTATTAGATTAATTCTAATAACAAAAATCATCAAATATGGATGGATTAACCATTGGGTTACCCTCTAAAAATACGAAGCAAGGAGAAGTTTCAGCCCAACAGCTCATAGGACGTAAGGTTCTGATTGCTGTTAAAATATATATGTATATATATATATATATAATTATATTTATATATATATAATTATATATATATATATATATATATTTATATATATATTAATATTTCTTGTGTCAACAAACGGAATTCCTCTCATCTTTTACATGATAATTACAATGTCATAAAAAGTAATTTTTTACATTTTTAAAATCTTTTGTTCGTTATATTCCTTCTCTGATTTCATTCCTCTTTTGTTTTTACACTCCGCATCCACTCATTAAACTGCACGTGCTGCGTAACCTTGATCAGTTTTCATAATGCACTACGATTGAATACATACAATATAGAAGGGCATTATGTGCTCCTTTAATTTTTCGTTTATTAATATATTAGTATAATATTCTTTACACAATTTTAGTGTTCAATAAATTTTGAATAATTTTTTCTGTGCTTTTCCTGGTATGTATCAAATTTTCTCCTTTTTATATATCTATATTTATTATCAATTTTTGTATTTATGTAATATCTTTTTTAGATTATTGAATGATATCATCATGTGTCAAAACGTTTAATGGAATAAATAATTTTTCTATCTAATCTTTTTTTTAATTCGACAATTGGGCTGCAAAAAAATATTTCAAATATATTTATACAGTACATATCTAAAATGTTATACATTTTGTATCATTTGAGAACATAGAACATCTGTAATGTTTTTCTTTTCTCTAATATGGTATGGAAACGCCAACGTGAAGAGAAATTTCGGACTGTTATACACTCACTCACTTTTTCAGTTTTAGTAAAAAGCAGTTCACAATAACTGGAAAACATAGAATAAGCAAGACGATAGCATAACCTTATCTCTCATAAAGTTAAACAAAAATGCATAAATATTTATCATTCAAAAGGTAGCCTCAAGTAAAACTAATGATTTACCCCGCGGCTACTGCAGCATATCCAGCAACTGGCTGTGCAGCTGCAGCTGCCGCGCCGGCATAAGCCGCGCGTGCAGCCACTGCATTGTTGTATGAAGCAGCAGCAGCAGCGTACGTCGCTTGTTGAGTTGAACTCAAGGGTGTTTTCAGCAGTGGAGCGGTTGTGGCCTGAAATAATAATAAAAATAATTTATAATACTTGTACTACCCATGAATTTATGAAATTCGTTACTAGTATAGTAATCAACTATGCTTTTCTAATCATTTTTGTTTGGTTAGTCAAAATAGTTTTGTTTACTTGTCAAAATAAAAACACATGTTTGGCTGAGATAATGTCATTTTACTCAATTTTAAGAATTTATGTTTTATTATGTTTATTGTTCATATTATTTCCTTATTCACTCATCAGGATAATTTTATTTTTGTTAAATATTTTTAGGAATGTAATTTATTTTCTAATACAACATATCAGTGCAGCAAATATCGAAACATACATACATATTTTGTTAGGGTATCTTATTTATTAAACATGTTTAAAATTCCTTTAAAATTTAAGACACATATGCAATGCAGTAAACAATGCAATAAACTCATACCTCCAAAAAAATGGGACGCGGATTAAAATGCCGCAAAATTAACTGAGATTTTCTATCACAGAGCATATATAATTATTTTAAGTGTAAATAAGTGGCTCAAAGTTGGCTGAAAGTGACATTGTTGGGTTTTCAAATTAAAAAAAAGTAAATAAAAGTTTCTAACTCCGAATAGCTTCAAACGTAAAATTGAAAATTAATTCCAATTAAGCAGTTATGCAAGTCCGAAAAAATCGCAAAACGATGTAGAGATGATACATATATTGAAATGTTGTTGTAGTAGGGTTTGTGCAGATAGAGTTCAAAGTTTTTTTTTTAGATTACAAATTTGCAAATACTTATTTTGTATAGGACGAACAAAAAGAAATAAATGAACGCATAAGTGATTTATCAATTTACAAAACGCATTCTGTAAATAGTACATAAAGCCACAACATTGTGTAGCATAATATAATTGCGACTTTCTATAAATATTTATGTAATATATTGTATTTTCAAACAATATTTCATCCAAATAAAATTGTCTCCATAACAATTTATCAAAAATAGTGGATAATACATAATGCACTGATATATATCTTATATATAAAAATGGAGCTCTCTTTCAAATGTCCGAATAAAACTCGAAAACGGCTGAATCGATTTGGCCAGTCTTAGTCTTGAAAAATTCGTGCCAATCCAGAGAAAGTCCAAAAGGTGATAAATTATTTCAAATCCGCGTAGAAACTTTACATTTTTAATTTGAAAATTTTTGTAGAAGCGTAATTTAAATAAAACAATGGACAGTGGCAATTTCGTGAAATGTCAAACGCTTTTGACAGATGATGTTCAATTACGTTTAATAGGATGTTTTACGGGAATATTACTTATTTATGATAAATTTGTAGTAAGAAGAGTTTTGTTTGTAGTTTTATTTATATACAAAAACGTTAGTAAACGGGCCGCAAGTGTTACTAGAGACTCAAAGTATAAACTTTTTTGATATGTTAATATGAAAATGCACTTTTTGGCATATTTTTCTCAAACACGGTGCTCTGAAAGATCTCATTTGTATAATTATATACTCATTGGTATTTATAAAACATTTTCTAGGTTATATTATTTTTTATTTATTTTATTTAAACTCAGAACCTAAATTTGGTATCGATCAAATGGGCATTTTGTCGAATAACATTTTTCCAGTTATAATTTCCCAGAATTTATCACAGAATAGATAGTAATATATGAAGGTCCGGGATTAAAAAGGTCCACCACCGATGTGCGAAAAATCAGTAAAGTTAAGCATTGTTTAACAACAATATTTGAAAGTAGAGGAAAAAAGCTGTATAGCCAGCTACAAACTTGATTTGAAAACGATAATCTTTGAAATGGGGGAGATAAACGGTAATCTTTGAAAATCCATAATAAACGTATTTTCTTCCGTTGGTAGTTTTAGTATTAGTTAAAAATGTAATTATTTTGTAAAATACCTTTAAAATTATAATAAGGCTTTAAACCTTTTGCCACCTGCCCGTTACAAGTTACACTGCATATAGGATAAAAAGGTCTAGATAACAAATTTTTGGAAGACATCAAAAAAGCACATTTCTACAATAATGAAGTAGAAGTCAGTTTACTGAACGTAGTCAGATAATTGTTCGTTTGATATGTCTTATTTGTTGTGATATAATTGTTATGGTTTTCACAATATAGTTTATATTTGCTCAAAGTCAAATTGGACCTTTGTGTCTCGCCCTGCTCTACATATATACTTTTTATTAAATTTACTTTAATTCATCGAATATAACTTGAAACTTTTCAAAAAGCAGGTCAAAGAAGAAATAATTAATTCATTTTTTATCTCTCCTCGCAAAAATTTGAAAATTTTGTATAAGCTCTGTAGTATTATTTACAATTATACACAAAATCTAGAATCCAAAAAGAATCTGAAAAACTCGAAACGTAAATAATAATCCGAAAGACCAAAAAAGACTCGGATTGGATTATACGATGTTTTCTATAGAAAGTGTATATAACTTGCAATTTGATTGTATTGACAAAATATAGACAAACTAATGAGGTTTATTGTTTTTATAATACCTAATTGTATACAGCATTCAAACAACACATCCTTATGCACTTAAAGTATTAATATTTTTGATTCTAGAAATCAAACAACGTTTGCCGGGTCAGCTAGTATATATATATATATATATTAGGGTGGTCCTTAAAATGGTCATTTTCGAATTTCCTTGCTCCCAGGGGCTCAAATGGTTCCAAATAGATAAAAAACAATCCTCTGAAAGTTTTAGCTCTTAATATTAACGTTTAGATAGAGCGCAATTCAATCAAAGTTTTGTATGGAAATAGCATGAAAAAAATTTCAAAAATTTTAAAAATGTTTTTTAGATGTAATTTAGCGAACAAATGAATAAATAAAACACATTCATTTGTCGCTAAGTTATACCTAAAACATTTTTTTTAAATTTTCAAAATTTTTTCCATGCTCTTTTCATACAAACTTTGATTGAATTGCGCTCTATCTAAACGTTAATATTAAGAGCTAAAACTTTCAGAGAATTGTTTTTTATCAATATGGAACCATTTGAGCCCCTGGGAGCAAGGAAATTCGAAAATGACCATTTTAAGGACCACCCTAATATATATATATATATGTATATATATGATTAATTTCTTGGAGGGTGTAACATCAAGTAAAAAATATAAATAAGTAAAGATTTTTTAAAAGATTTTTATTTTTCCATACGTTTTGACGTAAAATTCTACGTCATCGTCAGTAGTTTTGAATTTCTTAGATTATCACTTACACATATTAATATAGCTTGTAAAAAATTAATAATTGGAAACAAATACCAAATGTCAGTAATTTCTTTTTTATAAAAAATAAAAAATAAAAAGTAATTAATAAATAAAATATTATGCGTAAGTAAACGTGTATCCGAGGCCAAAGCCAAACAAGTAACTGATAATCCAAGAAATTCAAAACCACTGACGATGACGTGGAATTTTACGTCGAAACGTATGGAAAAATAAAGATGTTTTAAGAAATCTTTACTTAATTATATTTTTTACTTGATGTTACGCCCTCCAAGAAATTAATCATACATTTCAACATCAAATTTAAACACTTTCAACATATATATATATATATATATATATATATATATATATATATATATATATATAATAAAAAAATATTTTTAAAACATCTTTATTTTTCCATACGTTTCGACGTAAAATTTTACGTCATCGTCAGTGGTTCTACAATTTTGAAGAAAAAAAAACAGAAAGAATAACGTTAAAAGCTAAATATACACAGAGCAGGAATAAAAAAAAGAGATTTAACTAAAAATACAGACTAATGATATATAAATCTTAAATTAAAATATTGCATAAAACATTACTTAGGGATCGTTTAAGTATTACGTAAGCTGATTTAGTACTATTATTTACCCCTCCAACCCCTTTTGTCATATGTATATATATATATATATATATATATATATATATATATATATATATATGTATATATATATTTGCATTTCATTGTAGTAATAGATGCAAAATTTCATCTGATCAAGTGCCATCATTTTAAATCTACTTGACATTACAAATTCCCCACCGATGAATTAATTGCGATTTGCATTGTAGTCACCTGTAACCTGTAATTGGGATCCGCTGCCGTTGCAGCATGTGCTGCCAGGAAAGGGTCATAGTAAACACTGTAAAATAATATAAGTATAATTCATTATGAGAGTTAAACAAAACGTATTTTACTACATATTTTATATTTACCTTATACATGCAATAAACTTAATAATTTGCAAATTGAAATGTTATATAAATTGTTATATAAATTGTTATATAACTGTTATGTTATATTGAACTGTTATTTAAACACATTCACTACAATGATGTAATACCCATAAAACGTAAGTTTTATACATGCATATAAGAAACATATTTTCATTTGAAAAAGCATAACAAGCATGAAAAATGTAGAACAATCTTACCTCACAAAATCATTTTTAATCATAGTTTTTTGTTATTATTATGTGTAATTTAGCCATATAACTCATAAAGTATGTAAATAACTCTGATTGTTATATAATATGAATGAATAAAAAGAAATCCTAGTTTTAAATTTCTAATAATAAATAACGTGCAATATTGGAATGACTTACATGTCGAATAATGAAACTACATACGGATTGAATTTTTACAATTGACGCTCGTGATATAAATTAAAAATGATATTTTAGAGAAAATAATTTAGTTATGATAAATAATAAGCCATGCACATACAATATCTTACTTTATTTATATCATTTATATAAATATGATTAGGTACACATCAACCAATTGTACTATGTGCATTTGTCAGTAAAATATATAAAATAAATAAAATATTATATTAATTTAGTATTAGAAAAGTAATTAATTTCATAAATTATAGATAAAATATTACGTAAATTTATGAATAAATATACTACATTAATTCTTAAGTGAATATATAAAATTAATTAAATATTATTATAAAAATATTTAAAATAAATAGTGTATGAATACTAAGAGTACCACAGAAGAAAAGATGTTCATTTTCCTACAGAAGCAGAATATTTTTTAAATCTCTTCCTAAAAGCAGAAAAAAATCAGGTAAAAATAGATACATAAAACAACGTATTACTATATAAATTAATAATAATTACTACTACTCCATCAATTAAACAGATTTAAAGTGTGAATATGTATATTTAGAAACTTGAATGCTATTAAAGTCAAACACTGAAAATGTTCCAATTAAATTAAGGTGTAATTTATAAACATCAACAAATGTGTGTAATACTAAGGTAGCCAAATTTCTTTGTGTCACAACCGAAACTTAGTTTATATGCAAATCCGGAACGTGGGGAAGGGGGGCGGGGAGGTAGTGTCTTGATGAAAAATAACAAATGTAACCTAAAATATATTAAAATTATACATGCGGTGGAAAGGTATAATTTTATTATCAAGAACGCGCAACGATTCATTTTAGGCCTATACTATTCGAAAACCCGGGACAATCCGGAACAAGAGATCGAAATCTGAGACAAATACTGCTTTTAGAAGAAACCGGGATGCAAGGTAAAAATCCGGGAGTGTCCCTGCGTAACCGAGATGTATGAACACCTTAGTAATACTTAATTTATTTGATTCTTTTTAATAATTTTCCTTGAACAATGACAAAAATAAAAATAGCAAACAAAAAAACAATGTTTGAGTTTAAACATAGCACAGTACTTTAACGAATGCCTTTATTTAACCATATTTAACCTTCGAAGTAAAAAATTGATGTTAATATGTTTGAGATGATGTAAAACTTTTGAAATCAATTCTGCTGTCTGCTGAAACATGCAGTCCATGCAATTTTACATTATTTATCACTAAGTATTATATGGTTGTTTTCATCGATTCAGTAGTACAAATAACGGCTTTGAAAATTTCGTAACTGAGACAATCAAGTATTAAAATAATTTGTTGCTCACATTTACGTTTCATCAACTTATACCTACGTTGTAAGTCACGTATGTCACAAACATTTTCTATTTTATATAAAAAAAATCTTTTTATAGCAAACTTATTATTCATTTGATGTATACCCATATTGTGGCATAATATAAGAAACCTAAAAAAACTTAATCAGTTGGGCTATGAACGATTTTTTATAAGATGAAATTTTCTATGATAAAAAAATATGCAAAATTTTATTACGCGTGCACTATTTTGAACATTACCTCGTATGTACAAGTAAAAACCCTTAACATTTAACGTTAACTACTAACAGGAATATAATTCAATAATGTTCTAATGTTAGGATGACAATCAGACCTAATTAATGCTGCATTTATTCATAATCAATAAAGGAACCTTTTAATATTCAATCGATGAGAGTAAGCACAATGTTCACATACCAAATTCAATTACATGCACAATAATCAACTTTAAACTCACGGGGTATATCCATGTAACGCGTTGGCGGCAACTGCAGATGCCGAAAGCGGCGCAGGTAGCCGCGCGGCAAAAGCAGCGGCTGCTGCTGCGGTCGGAAATGCGGTTCGGGCTGCCCGGCCGCGTTGAATGGCAACGCCGCGCAATGCAGCCGCGGCTGTGCAATCAGCTGGACCGCCGGCGGTCGGAAGACTCCAGCGCAATGCCGCTGTGGAAGGATGCCCTTCTGATCAAATGCCATTTATGATAACCATCACAAAGAGCGATCACGAACATCACAGAATACATAGATCAATCAGTGATGATACATAGTTATGCAAAAGAGTAATATAGACAAATTGACTAAAAAATTTCAGAAATACATCATGCATCTATTCACAATACTGTTCAATATTCTATATTTGGATTATGTTTTCATGTGAAACCTTAAACTTCAACAAACTACTTCAAATTCATATTCATATTTATTTTCCTTGATTATGCTATGTTATAACATATAATCGTGAGTATTCAATGCTTTATATTCAAAATAAAAGAATGAATTATCATGAATTCGAATTATCAATCCTCATGTAAGAACTATTCCGATATAATTTTTTGATATTTGATAAAAATAGTCATACTTATTATCAAACTAAATATAATTTTGTTTGTATAAGACTATAATAAATATATACAACGGAATGTATAAAATTAGTACTTTTAAATTGAGACCGCTTGAGAAAAATTGCTCATATAAAAACAATGTATTATTGTTTTATATAACCGTGTTCTACTTGCTAAGCATATAACATAAAAATTAATATTGCAATGACTATTTCAAGCATCCGTAAACTTCTTGTTTGATGCAACTTTGGAGAAAATAAGTGAGAAGTGAGAACAAAAAATTCACATCAATAATACATTAATATTGCAGCATGCTTTTTATCAATCATATCACTCATTTCGTGAGTAGCAATTTTTTCCATACATATATCATTCATTTTGAATTATTTAGTGAATCTTATTTATATTATAATTGATGTGAAAAATGTAAGTTCGTAAAACATGCTAAAATTTTAAAAGATTTTTTACTAAACATACCCTCCGGCCATTGGATGCAAACTGAAAAGTAAATTTATTGGCTGTATTTCCATGTTACAATAAGTATAATGATATTGTGATATAAGATTTAAATATGTAATTGAATTGACATAAATCGAAATGGAGCAATAGTAGTTAAATATTACTACAAATTTTCGTTCAAAATACGGGTACATACGATCAAGCGTTTATAATTTTTCCATACGACAAATTCTATTTTATGCAAACTACTTATATATCAGAACTTAAGTTATTATGTCTTCACGTAGGATTAATTCAATGGAGGCAATCCTAACGTACTTATTTTTTCCTAATTTGCTTATAATCATATTTTTGTATTTATTTTTAATCTTTATTTTTGTATCTTTATTATTTGTTTATTTTAATTGCTTTAATTTTTATTTTGTGTATACATCACACATTAGCTTATAGAATCTGTATTCTGATTGCTCATTATAGATAAATAAAAGAAAAAAAGTTATTATGTAAGTAAAATATACAATGCTCTGTGGAAATTTGTGTACTTGATCATCGTATACTAGCGTAAAACAAAAATAAAACACTGGAATGTCGGCCAAATTCGAAACAATGACAACGGAGATTATTGGCATTCTGAGACAGCATTTCAAAACTTATCACTAGCAATATTTTACAAGTTTCTATACTAATATCGTTATTTATGGTTATATGTATTGCCATATGTTAATATTCAAATATAAATTTCACGAAATATATGTTTCAGTTCATCATATTACTTTTTATATTCTGGCAAACAATAACCAAAATATTAGAAAACACGAGAAAAAAACAACAATACAAATATTAGAATAATAATTTGTTTGGTTCATATTATGTTGCTTCCCAAATATTATTTACCTTGCCAACATGAAACTCAATAAAAATGTAAAAATAAAGGAATTGTGATAAAGTATTTGAAAAAAAAACTACTTAATCACAAACAGAAATTTCAATCTAATATAATAAATATGCTTCAATTAGATACTGACCATTCGGCATCGCTGGAGGCTTTTTAGTCTGCACTCGCGCTGTGGCATTGTTTACCTATGGAAATACAATATAGTGTCACAATATGCTTTTATAATAATTTTATAATAAATCATGCAATTATTTAAATATTATATATGACAAAAAATATTACAAAATTTATCTCTTCATTAAATTAAGGTAAACTTTGACAGTCTTAATCTAAATCAGGCTTCAGCAAATTACTTATCTCATTGTAATGTACCCACCTGTAATCATCTAATATACAATTCAATAAATAATTCAATTGATTTTCAAAATTAAAGAACTAACGCTTATGCAATGACCATTAACTTGATTGATATATTAGCAAGTAGCAAGAACTTGAACTTTTTTAAATAAAATAAAGATAACAACATATTTAAAAATTATAGATATATATATATATATATATATATATATATATATATATATATTCAGCGAGTAAAACAGATTGCTGAAGCCTGAACTAATAATGCAGAAAAATGATCACATGCATTTTTTTAAATTACCGTTTATTTATTAATTGAATAAATCAATATCAATTATTTCTAAAACGTTTAAAAAATACATGTCATGCTCAACATTAGCTGAATATATAATTAAAAAATATATTTTACGCAATCACATTTTTTAGAGATCCGCATTTCATTGCGTGTGACCATTAACTACATATGGAATTGATTGAGTAAACCTACCAATGCAACGTTGTTTTATTATTTAACAAACTATTCACAAGATTTATAATTGATATCATAGATTTAACACAGATCATTTTAAAATTATTATAATCCTATAAAAATGCAAATTACAGACCATGTCAATATTTATGAATATCGACTTATATTCGCTTAATATACCTTTCATAAAGGAGTATTTATTAAAAATCTGATTTCTCTCAGAAACACATATTTCAGATGGTTTTAGTTCCAGTATATTTTGCAACAGTAAAAAATATATGCGCGCCAATCTCAGTCGAACATAAAAATTCTAAATATTTTGCATATATATATATATATATATATATATATATATATGTATATGTATATATAATTTATTAAAATAAATAGCAAAACGTTCGAAAATAACATGTTACTGAATCGTTATAATAAACAAAGCTTACTTAGATAAGAACCATCATAAATTTATAAAATATTATTCGTTATATTATCATTATCAGGTACAAACATTAACAATAATGTAATATAAAATAAACGGTTTAAAGAAAGCAGGCAGTTCTATGAATACCGTCAGATTTCTTTTCACATCGGGCATATAACAAGCTCAATTTTTCCTATAGAATATGGGTAAACTAGAATATTTAAAACAACGATATATCGATATACGATGCAACATTATACCCATTATATACAATAAATGTTATGTGCAAGATAAAACAAGATAAAATAATAGTTACCCATAAAGGTATGACAATAATGGGCAATATAAATAATATCACAGAAAAGAAGCCATTCAAAGATTGATCAAATAATATAGGCAATGACTTGTTCAACTATCAATCAATCGATGCTTATATATATATATATATATATATATATATATATTATATATATATATATATATATATATAAGCATCGTATATATATATATATATATATATATATATATATATATATATATATGGCTAATGTACTAGTTTATAAAGCCAATAAATCATAAATATATATATATATATATATATATATATATATATATATGTTGAAGGTGCTTAATTTTGATGTTGATTTGATTGTACGATTAATTTCTTGGAGGGCGTAACATCAAGTAAAAAATAAAGTAAAGATTCTTAAAATATCTTCATTAACTTCCCGTAGGGTAGTTATAACTAGTAATGGGCCGAAAATCGAAAATTAAAATTTTTGCATTTCTCGACGTTTTGAAGGTTTCTGAACATTTTGGCATAACTCAGAAAAAATGGTGTGTGTGTCTTTTGTGTGTCCGCATTTTTTCGTTCATATTTTCGCGCGCACGGATCAACCGATTTGGTTCAAAAAACACTCAATTCCTTTTGATGGGAGCTCACTTATATACTTTGAATAAATAACTTGTGTAAAAAACACAAAAAAACTTTTGTAATTCAATTTATATAATTCTTAAAAATAAATATTAGACAAATGTTACAGTATTTATAATAATTTATTTAAAAATATTTAATATTCCTTTAATATTTTATACGGTACGGGAAGTACCAGCAGTTTGCTATAAGGCACCACTAGTTTTTTCATACGTTTCAACGTAAAATTCTACGTCATCATCAGTGGTTTTGAAATTCTTTAATTATCACTTATACATATTAACAACACACAACTTGTAAATAATTAATAATGCGAAACACGCACTAAATGTCAGTGATTACTTTTTTTAAAAAAATAAATAATAAAATATTATAGTGGTTCATACGAGGCACATTTGATTTCTCAAATAAAATCAAATGTGCCTCGGATGCCTCGTATACGGATCTTGGGTTCCGTACCGTAATTAAAAATCTTGGTACGATGTACACATTATGAAAATCTCTATAAAATATCTGATAATTTAATGTGCATAAGTCCAATAAACATTTTTGACCGCCAAAAGGCATTTTTTAACTAATTTTTGTTGAGAGTCTATAACTGCTAGACCTGCCTTCTCAAAAATTTAGTCAGATTTTTAGCTTTTCAATACCAGTAAAATGTTTTTTTAATTATTAAAATCGGACGCTTTGTTCTCTTAAAAAGTGAGTGAGATTTTTGGCACTTTTTGCCACGTATATTCGGAACGGCTAGATCTGCCTTTGCCAAAAACTAATAAACACGTCTCCTTATCAATACGAATCGAATATTTTTTGAATTATTCAAATCGGTTAATCGGTGTTTCCGAAATCGTCGACGAAAATTTGTATCCCCACACACACATACATCCATTTTTTTTTAAATTATAATATGCCAACATATTCAGAAAGTTTTGAAACGTAAAGAAATATAAAAATTTTCATTTTCGATGACTATAACCTGCCGTACGGGAAGCTAAAAAAAATGCTTTAAAAATCTTTATTTTTTACTTGATGTTACGCCCTCCAAGGAATTAATTATATATATATATATATATATATATATATATATGTATATATATATACGAACATATACATATACATATACATTAGGGTGGTCCTTAATTTGGACATTCTCGAATTTCCTTGCTCCCAAGGGCTCAGATAATTCCAAATTGATAAAAAACAATTTTCCGAAAGTTTTAGCTCTTAATATTAACTTTTATATAGCGCGCAATTCAATCAAACTTCGTATGGAAATAGCATGGAAAAAATTTTGAAAATTAAAAAAAAAATAGGTATAACTTAGCGACAAATGAATTGAAGTGAAAATTCGTGTCACTTTTTATTTAAAATCCGACGTTCTTATAATAATTAAAGGAGAAAAATTAATAAATTAATCAATAAATGAATGTAATAGTGAATTAATTTCAAAAGAATGAACAAAAAATTAATGTTATAAGTTTAAGTTGCGATGACACGAATCCGAGTCGGAAGGGTTAAGAGCTAAAAGTTTCAGAGAATTGCTTTTTAACAATTTGGAACCATTTGAGCCCTTGGGAGCAAGGAAATTCAAAAATGGCCATATTAAGCACCACCCTGATATACATATATATATATATATATATATATATATATATATATATTATAGAATTTTATGATATGAGTGGAACGAATATTAATTGTTTAATATGAACAAAACAGCACTCAGAAACAGTACTGTGTCAAGCATTGCAAGGAATAGTTGGTGTTTTTTGTATATCAAAAATTAAATGAAATTTAAATAAATTATTAAAGAATGTGTAGTATATAAGTAACTGTTTTTGAAATTACACTGAAGATGAGACACACCATGGTCTCGAAACGTCTGTAATCATAAAATAAAGTTGTGTTAAACAAATCTGAGTGCTGTTTTGTTCATATTAAACAATTAATATATATATATATATATATATATATATATATATACATATATAAGGTTATTGAAAAAATTAAATCTATTTTCCATTTTTATTTAACTATCACCTCATCTATCATTTAAGATCTTATTTTACCAATAGTCAAAAATCAAAAATTCCCATTTTTATTAATAGTCATTATAAAAATAGGCAATGTTTATTATTATCGTTTTAATATCATAAACGATAGAATATAACTATTAAAATATAATGGATAAATTTAATCGATTTAAAAATATAATTCGTTGTTATGAACCAAATGAACAATGAACCCATACAGAATTAATTGGTAGTTGGCCATCAAAAAAATAAAGCCCAAAAAACAAATATTTCTAGAGCGTAATACAATTTCCACCTATTGAAAAAATGTATTTCATTCGACACATCTACAAATCTTAAAATATTGATTGTAATTTTTTTTTTAAATATTACGTATTTCCACTCATTTCGCAAATTCTTAAAAATTATTCTAATGAAATAGATTTAATATAGAGGTTTATAGTTAAATAATAACTTTGAACACATTTGGATTATTACCATATAATACTCAAATAGCCATATACATATACATATACATATACAATAATTATGACTCCACATTAGTCGTTGAATGGGTCCTTTCGCCAGTTCCACTTTTTTAAAAAAAAATTTCAAATGTGTTTTGAAAAGCGGTATAAAAAGTCATAATTTTTTTTAGCCTCAATAAAATATATTCACACTATCACACTATTGCAACAAGTCACACATACGATTTGGAAAAAATAAAACTGTACAGGAACTCACAAATAATCTCTCACAGCAGACACTGCGAGTCTGTATAATGCTGTAGAAATTAGACACACATTCACAAACAGTAGCATCAAGTACCTTCAAAAATTAAATTATAACTAGTGGTGTGTATGGCATCGTGCCTTAAGGCAAATTGCTCGAACTTCCCGTACCGTAACGAAATGTTCGGGGAATATTAAATGTTATAAATAAATACTGTAACATTGTCTAATATTTATAAGAATTATATAAACTGAATATAA